CTCTAAGGCCTCTTTTGGCCCGGCTGAGCCCGACCCAAAGTATTGCTTCCCTAGCAACATTCGGGTCACATTGTTCATAGAAAAAGCACCTAAAACTTCTCTAAGGTTAATCGGGCCTTCATCTTGGGCCAAAGCCCATACATCTCGTACCAAATGTTGGGCTTCGCTTGCCCTTTGGTTTGCAAAAGATTCAAGTCTTTTTGTTGTAAGAAGTTGCTCCATGCAAATCCTTCGCATCCATTTCCATCGAGGACCAAAAGGTGCTAGTGCAACATCACCACAATTATATGCAAGGTGGATTGCAGCTAGGGTCTGTGGGCGCGATGCAAAAACATCATCTTGTTGGAGAAGTATCTCACGAATGATGTTAGGGTCATTGGTGGTAATGGCATCGACTTTTCCAAGACGAAGGTATACCAATGGTCCATATCGCTCACAAAAAGAAGCCAAGTCTCTATGAGGCAACGGCCCTAATTGGAGGAGATTACCAACAATGGGCCACCTTGGTGGTCCCGGTGGAAGTCTACCCAGTGTTTCTGTTTGTAGTGAAAATTTGACAACCCATAATGATATTATTCTTGATATAAGAACCACAAAGATAATTATAAATGCTAGTTGTTGCAAGTCCATCACTTCTTGATTTGACAAGAGAAAGATAAAATCCCCCATTTGAAGAAGAACATATTAAAGTGTACTTTTACACAATTTTTGCATGCTAGATTTTCTTGACATGTTTAGGTTTACAATTAGGTATGGATCGGTTAAACCACATTCTTTGAATCGTTAATATTTACCTACCTAGACTTCTATTTATTGTTCAACCAATATGGTAAAACATTGTTATACGCATGTATGAAGCATGTGAAACTTGTGTATAAATTATAAATACAATCTCTAACAAATTATGAATGTTTGTTTAGTTATATTCATACCAAATGTAACTATCTATATTTGGGGCTATTTTTTTTTATTAAAACATTAATATTAAGATTCTACTTGTTTTATGAGTCCTATAATAACAAGTATAATAATTATAATAGATATATTTCAAAATAAATAAAATTTATAGTTAGATACATATAGAGAAAACATATCTCAAATTATAGCAACATGTTTACTATTAAGTTAAATAAAATAAGATAACATAGAGGCCTAGTGATGGAAAAATTGACTATTCAAATCTATACGGATATCTAAATAACGATCAACCAATAATATAAAATACAATATTATAATTATTATTATTATTATTATTATTTAGAGGATACATTCATTGCTCATTTAATCATCATACAATGAATGAGATAGCAAACAGACAATAAACTGTGTCGTTAAATTTCTAAGAGTTTTTTTTGGTCTACTGGTATCCACATGTGTAATAAATATGATTTTTTTAAGTGGTTGAAGATTCAAATTTTATCACGATAAATATATAAAATTAAAAGTAGAATCAGCGTCTTTTGCCGTACCATAAAAAATTATTGGAATAAGTTATATATATAAAACATATATTATATACCATGTTGTATTTTCAACTATTAACAACTGACAAGTATATACAATTTAATTATAGAAAATAGATAATCATACGAAAAATATGAAAATTTAAGAAATAATCCTTTCAATTTTTCTATGAATATTAACATAAAGTAAATGCTTCCAAGAGAGTGAAGCCCCTCAAATTTTACAGCATGTAATTTTTTTGAAAATTTTTCCACATACCCCTCTAAAATCATGTGTGCAACCTCTAAGATTTTGTTTTGTATCCGCCATACTATATCCACCTAAAGTTAATAATTTTATATATTAAATATGATTACAAAATTACATATACTATTTTAAAAATTCATTAACAATTTTAATCTTTTCTTAAATGCAATGATATTTAGTTATATGCATCAAAAATAAATTCTGGTCGACTTTCGATGATAAGATATTTATGACAATATTTAATTATTTATTAACAAAAATATTTTCGGCTTCACCTGGTTAAAACTTTAGTATAAAGATCATAATTTTAATAAATTAATAAAATGGTTCTATGGTCTAGTGGTTAGGACATTGGACTCTGAATCCAGTAACCCGAGTTCAAGTCTCGGTAGAACCTATAATTTTTTTTCTTTTCCTTTTTATGAGCACTTTTAGTATTGTATACATTTGTAGTCCCTGAAGTTTGGAATTTAGTTTTAACAAGTACACAATTTATTTTTGGACCGTGGTTTATGCCTTTTTCTTATTTCTTTTTCCCAAACTTTAGGAATTTTTTTTATCGCTTACAAATTAGATTACAGTTTTTTATTAATAGCACCAAAAACATGAATATAAAGCAAAATTCAGAACTTCATTTAGCAAAGTATAAAATAGAAAAAATTTAGATCAATCTCAACCTATAAAAAATAGGCATGGTATCAGTTACGGGGAAAAACAAGCGAAATAAACTTGTAGAAACTGACACCCGCTAATAACATGAAGGATTATAATTCAAATTACGAACCCCACCAAAACTATTAAGAGTTAAAAAAGCAAAATACGAAAAGTAAAGGACACTCTGTTCATTTAATTAATTAATAATTAATTGTAATTGTAATTGTAATAAACTTCTTCCCTCTCTTTTCTCCCTTCATCATTTGCTCCCTCCAATGGAATTCGAACGTAACCAAGGGAAACTCGAAGAAACAGTGATTCGAATCCTTAAAGGTGCCGATTTAGAAATCACCACCGAGCTCGTTGTTCGAAGAGAGGCCGAAAGACTGCTTGGCGTCGACCTATCTGATATAGCTAGCAAGCGGCTAGTTAGACGAGTCGTTGAGTCCTTTTTGCTGTCTACTTCGCCAGTCCATGGAGTTCGAGATGGAACAGAGCACGTGGAAGAAGTACAAGTAGATAAACCACCTGTTGACAATCAAAAAGATGCTTCTGATGATGGTGGTGGACGTGTTATATGTAAGGTGAGTTCTCGAAAACCTAACTTTTGAATCAAGTTGTAATCAGCGATGAAACTATTAGAATATATTAGGGAGACGTGAATAAGCTTATTTTTATATATGATTTATTGTAACTCAAACCGCTTAATCTATTTAGCTTTAATTGATAAGTCCTATTTAATCTAGGGTTTAAGTCATACTCACTCAGCCATCCAAAAAGGTACATTTTAATATTTCAAAAGCATCAATTTTCATCAAAGCGATCTATACAGAGAAAAATGTTGACATCAACTAATTTTACCACATGTATGGCATGCATAATATTGTCGTTAATTTGCGACTATTCTTTGATTATGTTTAGGAGTACCTCAATAGGCATCATATTTTGAAATTCAAATGTAGCTTCTTTTGGGGGACGGAGGAGTTATTCGAATTTGGTAGAAGTTTGGTGTTTTTGTGAAATTTCGAGAAAAAAAAAATCCTATATTACCGATTGTGTTTCTTCTTACATGATAACCTTTAAATTCTCAAGTGTTATTTTCAAACTTGCAATCCATGTAATCACTAATCAGTACGTTATCAGTTGAAAGAATCTAAAAAGCTCTAGAGAAACATGTTTTTTTTTTTTTTTAATTTTTTATAAATTCTATAAATATTTTTCAACTAAAGTTGTGCATTGTCATGAGTTGGTGGGGTGTAAGTTGAATCATTGTGATGAGTTGTGATGCATTGTTAGCTAAGTTGAAAAGTTGTAAAATGATTGATAGATACAAGTCTAGTATCTAGTGTTATTTCACCTGAGGTGTTTGGTATTTCATGTAAAACTAAGAAGTTTGGTAATAGCGGATTTAGTATTGGCCTGTTGAATAATCTTTATTTGGTTGTTGAGCTTACTTCTTTTGGTACCTTTGTTTTTCTTATATTGTTTCCTTTCAACACTCCATGTTGTATTTGTATAGCTACCAGGTATGATGAGAGTGTCTGTTAAAAGGTTGAAAAGGACAAAGTTGTTGTCAATAAGGGAGTACTATGAAAAAGAGGGAAAGGTGTTTCCTTCCGGTGGAGGTGAGGTGACCACTTGTAGCTCTTCAATTTTCATTTTGTTAATCATGGCCAACAACTGATGAATTCATTTGCGAAGCTTGGTTGCATATTTCCTCTTAAAAAAAAAACATATTGTTGCATATATTGTGAAAAAAGTGATACATTATGGCATTAATAAGCAAGCATTTAACCATGTATTTTAACAAATACTGATTTTGTTACCGTATTCTAGATGTTTAATCATAAAACATTTAAAAGTTTGTACTCTAGATCTTGGCACAAATTATTTAAGAGGTTTTAGCTTTTAGTTTTGATGTAATTTTACATATTTAAAAGCCAACAACTACTTTTTCTGTGCACAAATAAAAGCAACGGGTTCCAAGTACTAGCTAGTTTTGCCAAACATGCCCCTTGTCTACATACAATTCAAACTAAAAAACCTATAATAAGGTCAAGGTGTTGAGAGTTGTGGATGTTGGCTCTTCCACTTTTGTCCTCCAAGATGAACACCAGATTACCAAAACTTTGGTTTGTATAGGAAAGAAGCTTCAACATTATTGGTACTTTTAAAAAAAATAATAATAATAATAATAGAATTTAGTTTGTGCGTATAGCTTCCCATGTTACTCATGTTATGTTCCCTTGAAGGATTAACATAAAAGCAGTTGATTATGGTTAGTCTTTAATCTGTTTATTTTTGTGTTATAATCAGGAATCACCTTGAACCCAAAAGAATGGTCGACATTTCGTCCAAGTTTTAATGATATAGAAGAAGCCATCAGAAAAATGGAATCAACGATGAGGTGTTGTTTCTGCATAACCTATATGATAGAATTTATTGTTCACTGAGCATTTAACGATTACATGTTTAAATCTTTACTACAAATCTGGTGGTAATTCCGATCAGAAAGCAGTGAAATGAAGCGAAGTTCAAATCCATCAAGTAGGTTGCAAAGTTTTGTACCTCGCCAACTCATCCCCATTGCAACTACACGATTCACGGGAAGAAACTACTACTGCTGGAAACGTCAAATGGAATTGTTTCTAAAGCAGCTAAAAGTGTATTATGTTGTTACGGAATCATGCCCGGAAATCCCTGTTTCACCACCAGCATCTTTGGAAGAGGTGTGTCTGGCGAAATCAGGTGCACAGATGTGGATGAATGATGATTACATCTGTCGCCACAGCATCTTGAACTCCCTGTCTGACCAACTCTTTGACCAATACTCGAAAAAAAACAACGAATGCGAGAGACTTATGGGGGGAGCTTAAGTCATTGTACGATGATGATTTTGGAACGAAAAGGTGTCATGTCAGCAATTACATCCAGTTTCAAATGATTGATGGGGTTTCTGTTGTTGAACAAGTCGAACAGCTTCACAGGATTGCAGACAGTGTTACAGCCTCCGGGATACACATTGATGAGAATTTTCATGTAAGTGCCATCATTTCAAAGCTTCCTCCTTCTTGGAAGAATGTCAGGGCAAAACTGATGATGCATCAATAGTATATACCTCTTGATAGGTTGATATACTGGTTGAAGGACGAGGAAGATTCCAGAAGCACTCAACAACAACAATAGAGGTGGTCAAAAGGGAAATACAAGCACACGCACATGCGGGGGAGGGGCTTGTGCTTTGGATCTCATAAAGACAGCCACATTCGTTGCGATTGTCCTTTTAACCCAAAACCATGACGTCTCACAAGTCAACATCGGTTCTATAATCTCATACTCTATCTATTCATTTCAACCATTCTTCTTTTCATTTTTGTTTCGTGTAACTGATTGCTTGTTGGTAACTCCAAAGGCCAGGGTAACTCCAAATATTCAATGTGATTTATGTTAAACATTCTTGCTTGCACGCACACACACACACACACACACACACACACACATATATATATATATATATATATATATATATATATATATATATATATATATATATATATATATATATATATATATATATATATATATATATATATATATATATATATATATATATATATATATATATATATATATATATATATATATATATATATATATATGAGATTTTAAGCCTTAGATCTTGTTTGGTAAGGCCTGATAAAAACCATTTAGCTACTCTTTAGTTTATGCATCTCTTTACATTATTCTAGTGCCAAATCCAATAAATAACAATCTAATTTTTTATAGCATTACTACGTACTTCCATTTTTTATTTTTATTACAACATCTCGTCCTTTTTAGTTTGTCTCATTAAGGCATTGCACAATGAATCAAAATGTGTACAAACAAAAGCAATCATTACTTAGTGAACTGGGCATGTCTATGAAAAATCAAAATTACATGTTCACAAAAGCTAAACATAATATTAAACTATCATTGTCTGTTTGTGTAACAGCACATAAATTAGAGAAAATTTTTCATTTTTAAGTAATACTACAACATAAGTTTAATACCAAAATCCATTACATATTCATATAAAATCATCAGAGTGTCAATAATAGGAAATATGGAAAATAATGGAGAGTGAATGCTACGCCATTAAGCTAGATCCTTCCCCTTAGAACTGAAAGTACCTAAAATCACAATACAATCTATAAGCTATTGGTGAGTTTTCCCAAAATAACACATACTAGCCATACCAATGGGCCCTGCCCTGGGGTTCATTCCAACCCAACACAAGTATGGGCGCTGCCCTGGGGTATATTTCAACCTAAACATGTCACAGTGGGCCTGACCCTAGGGTATGTTTCAACCCGACATATCATATTATGCCCTGTCCTGGGGTGTATTTCAACCCGATCACAACATGTAACACACTACAACTAGCATATTGCATAAACGGATAATAGGTCGGCCTTGGTGCTTTCGACCCGTAATACCAGGAAATGACTCACCTCGGTCTGCTGAAAATAATAACTGCTCAGCTACCAAACTCCAAAAGATCTCACACTATATAAATATACAAAATACCCTAATTAAGATCATAATACAAACCCAACCAAGGCCTAAAAGCATTTTCCTTTCAATGGGCCCAACCATATTCAACCCATTTATGATAATAGGTCTAAGGCCCAACCCATGACACTAAAAGTCCACAAAGGAGACTGGTCTCACCTACCCTAACCAGACTAAGGCCTAGGGATGAGCATCGGAACCAACCCGAATCGGAACCGGTCCAGGTGGAAAATAGGAACCGGACCGGACCGTCGGTTCTACCGGTTCTTACCGTGTCTTCAATGTTGGAACCGGTCCTCGAGAAATAGCAACATACGGCTCCGGTTTTTTCCAGTTCTATCGGTTTCGGTTCTTGGTTCCAAAAATCCACAAGAATATCGTCCCGGTTCTTGGTTCCAAAAATCCACAAGAATATCGGGTTTCGGTTTCGGCGGTTCCCCGGTCCAAATGCTCATCCCTACTAAGGCCCACCATACAACCCTAAACTTCTAGGGTCCAAAAACAAAGTCCTCCACCGAAGGCCCAATTACCGTAGCCTACTGCTGAGTATGCGGGGCGCACTCAACATATACGCTAAGCGTACACGCATAAGGGCCTATACATTGCACGTACGAGCTTGTACGCCCATCGTACTCCTCAAGCTTGCCAACTGTAACACCGTAAATTTTCAAACAAAGTTTTCATTTTAAAACACAATAAAACTCATGTACATTTTCTCAAAAACCACAAGTATCTCAAAGGTCAACAAATCTACAAGTAAAAAATCACAATCCCATAATCATAAAAATAATCTCGCTCCAGTGTGTACTATCAAGCCAGTGCCTTCCCACGATCCTGAGAAATACATGAAACACATATCACATAACATGGTAAGCATAAAGGTTAGTGAGTTCCCCAAAATACCTCATACACATATAATAAGCCTCTCATGGCTATACTCGGCATGGACCCTCCGGTCTCATGCGTCTCGGTATATACCCTCCGGTCGTGTGTCTCAGTGAGGACCCTTCGGTCTTACAGCTTGGTTTGGACCCTCCGGTCCTGTCTCAGTGGAAACCCTCCGGTCCCACAATTTGGTTTGGACCCTTCGGTCCTATCTCAGTCAAACACAAAATATAACATACACACATTACACAGACAAATGCAAAATATCACATAACTCAAATAACCACAAAAGACCCTCCGGTCACACATAGATACCACTCATGGTAAGTATACCGAGAAGACTCACCTCGTAAGCTAGCAAGTAATAATCTCGTACACGAATCTCGAACTAGCCTCTGCTTAACACATAAAATAATAATCTCTAATTAACATGTAAATCACGACTCGAAATAAACTAGGTTATTGTCTCTCTCAAACTCTAGGGATGGGTAAAAGACCATTTACCCCTCTATGGTCCCTGCCTTGACGAAACCCTAAAGTCAACAAAAGTCAACACTCGAGTCAACTATCCATGTTGACCAAACTCACCGAGTACATCTATGTGACTCACCGAGTACCCTTTATTCCTTCAGAACATCATGAAAACCTAACTCAACTCGTCGAGTTGTCCCGTTAACTCACCGAGTTACCCATGTCCAGAATCAGCGGGGAAAACCCTAGCCAACTCGTCGAGTCAGCTCTTTGACTCGGCGAGTCTCTTTAGTCTGAATTCTCATTCAGAAGTTTTAAGGCAAATCTACCACTCCACACTCTAGATCTAGGCTCCCAAGGCTCGAATGCCACGTAAAGCTTCGATCTTTACGTTCATGCATGACACATTTTGCTCCAAAATGCTAATACAACTCTAATAAAGGTGTTTAAACACAAATACTCTCATATGGTTGAATAAAGTTGGGACCTTTGGACTCTATGGACCTCACAAGGTCCATATCTGAAGTCTAGACCTCCTAAAAGACTCAATGCACTCAACGTCCCAATAAAAAGGTGGTAAGAACCCTAAACTTCCATAATCATGAGATCTAACCAATAAGATGAAAAATGTGTAGGCTTTTACCTCTCAATAGAAGCTCCAGGTGAAAGAATGCTGGATCCCAAAGCCTCTCCTCGTTCCTTGCTTGTATATCACTTCTTTCCTTCCAAAATATTCACCAAAACACTCAAATATTAGCTCAAACACTCTTTTATAGCTCAATGGCCGATTAGGGTTTCAAACATGGGAGTTGGGCAGCTGGTGAGCCGCAAATGAGGTCATAAGTTCCCTTAAATAGGCCCCAACCCTGGAAATTTAGGGTTTCATCTCACAGCGCCAACTCGGCAAGTCATCTCTCTGACTTGTCGAGTCGGTTATTAGATCCACATGGTCAATCAATATCTACTCGACGAGTTGATGCACCAACTCGTCGAGTTGCTTAATAGATATCAAAAATAAATAATATACCTGGGAGTCTGGATGTTACAATTCTCCCCCACTAGAATCAGACTTCGCCCTCGAAGTCATGCTCTGGAAATAACTTTGGGTACTGCTCGCGCATCTCAAACTCCGGCTCCCACGTCCACTCGGATCCCTTCTGCTGTTGCCACTGAACCTGTACTAGGGGCATCTCTTTGTTCCACATAACCTTCACTTTCAGATCCAATATCGCAATCGGCATTTTATATAATTCATGCTCGCATCCACCTGAATGTCCTCTAATGGTACTACCATCATCTCATCAGCTACACACTTCCTCAACCGAGACACGTGGAAGGTGTTATGAATCTGACTCAACTCTGCAGGTAGCTCCAACCGATATGCTACCTTACCTACTTTGGTGGTCACTCTGAAAGGACCAATGTATCAGGGCCCCAATTTGCCCCGTTTCTTGAATCCGATCACCCCTTTCCATGGGGATACCTTCAGGAGGACAAAATCTCCAACCTAGAACTCTAACTCGGATCGTCGGTGATCTGCGTAACTCTTCTGGCGACTCTGGGTTGTTAGTAACATCTGTCTGACCTGCTGAATTTTCTCGGTTATATTTAGCACTATCTCGGTGCCACCCATCACCCACTGCCCTACCTCTCCCCAGCATACGTGAGTTTGACGCCTCCTCCCATATAAGAGCTCGAAGGGAGGCATGCCAATACTGGAATGGTGGTTGTTGTTGTAAGAAAACTCAGCCAAGGGCAAATAGGTGTCCCAACTTCCTCCGAAGTCCATAACACATACGCGCAGTATGTCCTCGAGCATCTGAATCGTCTGTTCACTCTGCCCGTCTGTCTGCGGGTGGTAGGCGGTACTGAAATGCAACCGGGTACCCAACTCCTCATGAAATTTCTTCCAGTACCTGGAAGTAAAACGCACATCTCGATCTGACACTATCGAGGTCGGAACTGCTTACCGTGCTACCAACTCTCTTACATAAATCTCAGCCAGTTTCTATGCAGAAGAGTTCTCATTGATGGCGAGGAAGTGAGCACTCTTCGTCAACCGGTCTACAATCATCCATATCGCGTCAACCCCACGCGCGGTCCGCGGTAGCTTGGTGATAAAATCCATCGTAATCTACTCCCACTTCCACTGAGAAATCTCTAGAGGCTGTAACGGACCATGTGGACGCTGGTGTTCCGCCTTAACCCGACAACAGGTCAAGCACCTCTCAACTACCAATACCACATCCGTCTTCATACAAGGCTACCAATAATTTCTCTTCAGGTCCAAATACATCTTATTGGCCCTTGATGGATCGAGAATCTCAATCTATGCACCTCCTCCATCAGTGTACGTTGAGCTCCACCTGTATAGGGCACCTAAATCCGCCCTCGGAAAGTTATAAGCCCACAATTGTCCGTATCAAACTCAGACACCTGCCCAATCACCCGCTCCCTCTTGCGGTTCTCCGGTCTCACGACCAACACCGCCACCATCCCTGATATCGATGCTTTACAATAAACTACAAAGTC